TCTCCCCATTAGCCTGTCTCACCCAAAAAGAAAGACTAAAATACTTGAGAGTATTTTAGTCTTTCTAATTTTCTCTCTCTAACGTCTCGTTTCAAATCTATGTAAAAGGTAACAAAACCTAAAACATAAACATACTTAAAGTAAAATATATATATTTTTAAAAATTATTTTTATAATCAACACTGGCTAGCAAATAATGTCAACAAGGAAAACAATCTTTCCAGTTTACACATAGCTATCTTTATCATGATGTTTTTCACTTTTATTTTTCACAAAAGCTAGCCAAAATTAAAGAGAACCAATGACCAAAAACAGAAAATGTAGTCATTCTAAGTAATCTAACATATTATCCAACAAAAAAAAAAACAAAGAAAAGTCCTTCATGTATATCTGGGCAATTTGTCAAATGTACAATAACCAATTAAGTCACTTCTTCAAAAACCAGCTTTTTGAAAATGTAGAGTGTGGGGGGACCAGCAGATGGCAATAGTTATGTCTGAACTCCCACATGGCCAATCACAGTTGAGTCCAGGGCCCGGTGGCTTCAAACTTACACAGGGCACATGGGTATGCATGCCCAAAATCCCAACAAATGAATAAAGGACAAGGGATTGTGGCATGGCCATCCCCCCAGGAGGTGATTTCTTGCCTTCTATCTCTGTCTCTCCAGCGAGCGCATGCGACCTATGGCAAAAATCTATCTTAAAAAAATGTGGAGTGTGTTAAGAACCTAAGTCAATGAACCTTTTAAGGTCCCTGGGTACCTGAGGAACTGAAACTTCCCTGTGATATTATTTAGAATTCAATACTCTTATTGCTTTTGTGGGGTAAAAATCAATCTTTAGAGTAGCTTTAAAAAAAAAAAATCGGAGAGAGAAAGAGAGAGAAAAAGACACTTAAGTATAACCCTCAAGAGAAACAGCTAAATTTTTGAGATGTTAAAAAAAAGACTCTATTTAGGAAGATGCCCAATAGAGCACAAATCTGAGAAACATAAAATTTAATTCCTAAGTAAAGATAGCTTAAGCTATAAGTAGCCAATGATTCCACATTACCTCAAGAGGCATGCATAATAGAAAATGTATCTTACTTTACAAGAATGGGTTACTTTCACTATAGTGGCAAGGAGATGATAAATTTTGGAATATTATCCATGTAATGCCTTTCATTGACCCCCAGATATTTCTCAAATTTCTCAATAAGAATTAGCACAGTGCTTTTCCTAAGTACAATGTCAATACTTAATGAGTATTACTAGTGATACTAAACAATGAGTATTTGGAAAAATTCTATTCCTAGATCACCTAAATATAAATACATTTTAATTGCTAGGTAATTTTCAAAGCTGTATGATTTATCAACATTTAGAAGTTCTGAGTTTGTATAATTATCACCTGACATTCCACCTTATAATTTAAATACCAAAATTATCAAGAAATCAAGGGGGAAAACAGCCTAAATAATTTTCTGAAAATCTAAGTAGAATGGAAAATGGAACTTATTTTTCTCCCTCAACCACTGCAGTTAATTAACATATAGTAAAGTTAGGTATTGCTTGCTTTAGAATTCGTTACTAATGAGGCAAAGGAAAAAAAGATAATTGCAGAGAAAAGAGCACTATTAAAATGTCTGCTGCTGCTTTACATGAATTCATGCTGTGGTTGCACAGGTTGCCCACCTAAAGGGAAACCACAAATGCTAAAGAACATTATCAGGAGAATTAATTATTTAAATCTAGTAATTCATAAGAACCTTGAAAAATGAAGGGAGACAGGGCCTTGCTTAGAGAATTTAATTTCCGAAACATATGAGCATGCCTTGTTACCAAAGCAAATTCACAATATTAAGATAAATAGTCCTTTTTTCCAGTAATGTTATTCCTTAGTTTTTAAGATCAATTCTTACTAAATTTCAAAATTCTTGGGACCAGCAGATGGCATAATGGTTACATCACTGGACTCCCATGCACTTGACCATGGTTCGAGTCCCGGACCCAGTAGCTTAAAACTCACACCAAGCATGTATGCATGCATGCCCAAGATCCTGAGAAAAGAATGGAGAAGGGATTGCAGTGTGGCATCCACCCCTGTGTGTGTGGGTGGGGGGCATGATTTATTACTTTCTGTCTTTCTCTCTGGTGAGCACACCACACATCCTATAGCAAAAATCTCTCTTTAAAAAAAAAAAAAAAAAAAAAAAACACTCAAAATTCTCAAGAAAGGAATTCCTTTTAATTATCTACCTAGCACTTGGATCTAAGTAATAGGCTATGTCCACAACAAGTAACTTCTGTCAAAGGTAGCACAACAAGTCAAGAGAATTAGTGATTTAAAAACCTGAGAGCTGCTCTGGGGGTTCAGCAAGTAAGCACAACTACCTGCATACCCAGAATCTAGGTTTTCCAAACTCGGCACTATTGACACTTAGCGTCAGGTGACTCTGTGATGTGGGGAGCTGTCCTGGACTTTACAGGGTATTTATTCAGCTGCTTCCCTGGACTCTACTCATTAGACACCAACAGCATCACCATCCCCACAACCCCATCCCATTTTTGATGATAAAAATATGTCTTCAAGCACTCTGAAATACTCCAAGAGGGGGGAAAATCACCCCTAACTGAGAAGCAGTTCCTTATAGAGAAACGTATCTGTACCACACAGAAGACAGTCCTCAACTTCCCAGGCCATCCAGAGAGGGAAGCAAGAGAAGCCATCAGCCTAACCATGCTGAATAAATCCTGGCAATCAGTGAGTAAGACATGGAAAAAGCCAGGGCCCCCTTTTACATCACTGAGGATGTCTTTCTGGCTACTCGAGCATTCTATCTTAAATATTATGATCTTATGTTTTATATTTCTTTACAATCAAAGAAATAACTGATGAATGAACAAAACTGGCTTCCTTAAACAAATGAGTAAATGGGTCAGAGATGTCCTAAACATAGGAACTTGGAAATATTCCTGGGATAGGATCAGCTCTATGGCTTGACAGTTAAGGCAACTAACTAGATCCTCAGACTTGGTGGCTTAAGAAACACACCAGGCATATGTGTGTGCATGGCCAAAGTCTCAAAAAGGAGGAAGAGATGGAGAAGGGACTGTAGCATGACTAGTCCCCCTGAGAGGTGCTGTCTCATCTTCCCTTCTCTCTATCTCTCTCTGGCGAACATACACATCTCTAGCAGAAAAAGGAAGGGAAGGGAAAAGAAGGGAACAAAAAAGAAATATTCTGGGATAGCAATAGATAAATGAGAGCAAATTGCATCCAAAAAATGCAAAACTACATTTATTAAAAGAGGCATCCACAAATGTCTCATTTCTATTATGATTTATGCACTGTAAAGCATCCTTACTTTTTAATTTACCATAATCACAAACATCACTTAGGTGTTCTTACCCTTATAAAGCATTACCAATGACAACCACAATGCTAGTAGCCAACATATTACAATCTCATAGGTTAGCTCTAACCCAATGGTAATGTGGGCAAAAAAAAAAAAAAAAAAAAGGCAACAAAAGAAAAAGAACAAAGACTAATTACAAGAAAGGAAATGTGGAAAAGTGCTCCTCTACACTCTAAAGAACATTTGTTTTATCCACCAAAACTAACTTCAGAGAATCCACCATACAAACCTACCTGGAAATGGGAGGGTTAAAAGATCTTAACTCCCACTAAAAGTGTCTAAGCAAGGATGCCCTCACAGTGTGAATCCAATTATACCAGTCGCCTTTGGAAATGTATCCATAAACCACTATTATAATCTGATCCTTTTCAAATAACCAAAAGACTTTTTTTATTTACTGTTTAAACATTGCTGCTAAAACTTTCCAAGGAACGTGATAAAGAACTGAAAATTAGAGCTTGGAATGAAAAGATAGCTTTCACCACAAGTGTGTGTGTGTGTGTATATATATATATACATATCTCGACCATGATATGTAAAATCTAAAACTTACCCCAATGGCAGAAATCAGAAGAAACCACAAAGAGATTACTAGGATCCGCTAGATATTTACTGAAGAGTTTTCCGAATTCCTGTTCTTTTGACTCACTCAGAGCTCCAACCAGTACAGGAATAATGGTAAACTCATCTTTATGGCTTTAGCTGTGTAAGGCATTTCAATACTGTGTTCATCTTCATCTGTTTGCAGAGACATGCGTTCAAACAGTCCGGTTTTCCAT